GATCCTTCTGCCTCAGCCTTCCAAGAAGCTGGAACTACAGGCGTGCACTACCACGCCCGGCTGATTTTTTGATTTATTGTAGAGATGAGGTCTCGCCAAGTTGCCCAGGCAGGTCTCGAACCTGCTGGCTCAGGCAATCCACTCACCTCTCTTTGCTTTTTAAAGATGTATGTTGCAGAGATGAGGTCTCGCTACGTTGCCCAGTCTGCTCTCAAACTCCTGGCCTCAAGTGACCCTCCCATCTCGACCTCCCAAAGTGCTGGGATTACAGGTGAGAGCCACCATGCTGGCCTTGATTTTGAATGTCTAGTTGCCATATCAGTAGAGCCCAAAGAAGCAGGTGCAATTAATGGTAGTGCATTTCACTGAGCCCACAGGCTCCCAAACACCCTCAGCCCGTGGCACTGCCATGCCAGGGTCCACCACGCTGGACGGCACAGCTTCTCCCGCTGGAACTCTGCCCCTGGCCAACCACAGCCTCCTCCGTGCCCAGAACCTTGGGTTTCCCAGATGCAAAGCAGGAGTCAGAGTGACTACCTGTGCCTACCTCAGGGGAGCCCTGGGCAGGGCTTCCGGGCCCACGCGTTCTGGGGGGACAGGTGAGGGGCTCCTGTGCCTTCCTGCCTTTGGAATACGCGCTCTTGGGCTGGCCTGCCTGCCTTACGCTGGTAAAGAAAAAGGATCCGACCGTCTTTTTCCAAATAAAACCCTTCACACGTAGGGCAGATCCCACACGTGTCTCGGCAGCTCTTCCTCACCCAGCTGTGAAGAGTGGCTGGTTCCCGGGCAGGGCTGGAGTGGGGCCGGGCCAGCCGTGGGTGGGCCTTCCCACTCCCCACAGGGCCTGAAGCCGCAGAAGTCAGGAGGCAGCAGCCACGTTGACAAAGCAGAGGCTTTTTTATTAATAGGCCAGAAATCTGGAGACACAGTGGGTTTTCCAGGTAACAAATCACCAACATACAAAACCGTACAGTGTTGCTCCTGCGATCCGTACAAAATGATTGTCCGCAAAGGTATGAGTAAGGCTGGGGTTGGGGGAAGCGAGGGCCGGGGTGGGGCAGAGCGCCACTGCCGCGCTGCCAGCTGTGGTCCTGGCCGCCAGCACCTGTCCCGGTGCATACAGTGGTGACACAGCGAGGAGGGCTTCTGAGCTAGATCACACCCCGGGACCCTCAGAGTTCGAGGCCTGGGGGGCCCATTCCCTGCTTGGAGGGCAGGCTTAAGGTGAACCTACGGCGAGAGCTATCCTTAGCCTCAATGACACACAGGCACCCGCCACAGGCTGGGTTGGGCCCATGAGCACTGTGGCCATTCTGCATCCGTCCAGTCCTGGCCCAAGCCAGGCCCTTTATCAGGACAGGGTGGGAGGATGATGCCTCGGGCGCTCTGAGCAGGTCCAGATCCCACCTGTCCTGGAGCTGGCTGTCATTCCTGGGGCCCCCAGCTCCCGTGAGCTGACCCTAGGACCCCGCTGGTCCCTCAGATTTGCACCCCCCTGGAGCAGAGGGACTCATGAGGCCTGGGTGCTCAGGTCAGAGACTCAAGCCACTGCCTTCAGAAACTGTTCCCGGACCCCTGCTTCCAAAATGCCCGTTTCAGTACACAAAAGCTAAAAGGCACCCAGTTGTGCAAAGAAGGTTCCTTCTCCACAGAGGGAAGGGCCTGGCCTGGGGCTCGAAGCCAAGCTCCCACAGTGGCACTAGCCCTGTGGAGATGAGGAGGACAAGGTCGGTCTGACTCCCTGTGGGAATCACAGTGGTTCTCAATGATTCATTTCCCAAAGGGCTGTGCTTTGAAACAGGAACACCCACCCTTTGTCCCCCAGCGAGAACTGCCGTGCTGGCTAGTGATCCTGCTCGGCCCTGGAGAGAGGGAAGGGTCGTGGGGGGACGGGACTGCTCTCCTGGGGTCGGGTGCTGCCGCCTGCTCTGGCTGAGAAAAGGACAAGGCCTCCTTCCCACCCCCTGGAGCTGCAAGGGACAGGCACCAGAAGCTGGGGCTGACCCTCTCCACACCTTCCACCCTACCTGGGCTCCCTGCTCCAGCCAACCCTGCTGCAAACCCCTTGGGTGAGCCAAGAGGGGAGGGCGGCTGCCCAGGGGGCGGTGGATGCTGGGCCTGTCCCCAGGAGCCTACTGGGGAATGATTTCCAGCAACAAGGGCTAAGCCCAAGGAGCCAGGCGAGGGGAATGGTCAGCACAATCTCTCCCATCTTGGTGCCAGTTGAGTTTGGGTGGCCTAGCCACAGGGAACAGGGTCAGGAGGGGCATGACCCGGAAGCACGGGAGCTGGCACTGGAGGCAGGCCCCACGACAGACATCGGCGGGCTTCTTCACGTGAAGGGGCTTCTGGAGCTTTCCACGTCAGGAGGCGTGCAGACCCCAGCACCCCAAGCTGGCTTCTGGAATTCAGGAGAGGGCACGGTGGCTGCAGACCACACCCTGTCTCCTCCTCCTCCTCCTCTACATGAGTATGTGCATATATAAGAGCATGTGCGTACACACACAAGTCCACACGTCGTAGGGAAATAATGCTACTGTGTTATTGCATAGAAGAGCCGGCTTCGCACTGGGGCTAGGTGATGGTCTGGGAGCGCTGGCGGCTGCCGGGGGGTGGCAGGGCGGCGGGGGTGGTGCCGCGGAGCCGCTGCTGCTCCTGCTCACGGGCGTGTTCCTCGTACCACTCCTGGCGGAGACAGACGGGCACTGAGGGCCACCGCTCCCAGCCACCCGGCCTCCTGGCAGGTCACCCAGCCCACCTGACAGCCCCACCCATCTGGGACTGAACCTCTCTCGCCTGCCTACTGGCTGGGAACTCTAGCTGCGGTCTGGAGGCAAAAGCACCATGATACATTTACCTCCTGAGGCCGGTGTGCCCCTGTGCGGCGTGCTTGGCTCATAGCAGCTCCTTGCATGGGCCCAAGCAGCAAGAGCCCTCAGCCCTTGTTTGCGACTCCCCGTCGCTCCCAAAAGGACACCCCTGTGCTATCCCTTGGCAGGAACTGTGCCTCTGACTTAAGCCCTAGAAGCCCAAGGCTCCGCAGCTGTGCCAGGCTGAGTGCCTTCACTCGCCATCGCCACTCCACCGCAGGGGGGCTGTGAAGGCGTTCCGGAGACCACGGCCCGGCTGACCCACCTGAGACCGTTCTTGCCACAACCGCAGACATTCTCAGGGACTGGGCCACTCAGATAATTAAGGAATCAAAAAATACACCCCACATTTTTCTTTTTTTAGAGACAGAGTCTCACTACGTTGCCCAGGCTGCAGTCTGGTGGCTTCTCACAGGTGTGACCACAGAGCACTGCGGCCTCAAACTCCTGGGCTCACATGACCCTCCCACCTCCGTTTCCTAAGTAGCTGGGACTATGAGCAAGTACCACCGTGCCTGGCTACTTTTTTATTCTTTTAGAGATGGGGGTCTCATTATGAGGCCCAGGCTAGTCTCGGCCTCTTGGCCTCAACAAATCCTCCTGCCTCAGCCTCCTGAATAGCTGGGATTACAGGTGCAAACTACTATACCCTGCCCTACGTTTTTAAAGACTGCGAACCACAGACCTTTAGAGCTTAAAGAACACCTTAGAGACAGCCTAGTTCTATGCCCCCTCATTTTTGTAGAGGGGGGGAAACGGAGGCCTGGAGCAGATAGGCAGAAGGGCAGAGGACAAGGGCAACACACCTCTCTCCAAGCATCCTGAGGGTGTGCTGCAGTGTAGTTGTCCTGGCTGCCTTGTGAGGTAGACAGTCCCCTTCTCAAAGATGGGAATGCCCTGAGTAACTCACCCAAGGTCACCGAGTCAAGAACCCAGGATGGGGTTCCTGAAACCAAAGCTCATGTCTCTCTGACACCAAGTTCAGTGAGCTACTGTATATCTGCCCAGAGGACACTGGTGTGACTGTCTCATGTCTCTAAAGAGAAGGTACAAGTCACTGCTGGGAACTGCATCCCACCTTTCAGGTGTGGACATTGGTTACACTGTCCGGTAAAACACAAGGGCTTCCGGTTGTCAGAATGCCAGAAAACAGAGCGTGGCCACTGTGGCTGGGGTGGTAGAGCCGTCTCGGAGCCTTGGGCACCATGGGGTGAAAGGCAAGACCCACAGCAGGGCTCATGAACTGGTGGCTGCGGTCCTTGGCTCTGTCTGGAAGGCACAGCACCAACCTACTTGGTGCTTTACAAGGCATTTTCCTCAGCTACCAATATGGAAAGATAGGGAGACTGTGCAAAAAACCCCTGACTTCTGCCTTCTCTTAAAACAAAAAAGTCCCAATTATCAAGAACCCCAAGAGCCCTGAGCACATCAGTGCAGTAGGCCCCACAGAGAGCCGCCTCCACTGGGCAGAGGGGGCAAGGCTCGAGTTTCCCAGCATCAGGGAGACGATCTCATGGCTCCCTGAGCCCTCTCCCTCCCAGGACAGCCAGGGGAGGACCTGGCACTGCAGGTGGCCGTGCCCCTACCTGGATCTCCTCCTGGTACATCTTCAGGCTCAGGTCGCTTTTGGTCCTTGATCGCCGTCCCAGAAACACCATGGAACTTTGCTGAGGAAGAGCGGAGGCTGCAGGAGGACCCCGGTGCCTGCCACGTTGACCTCTCCCACACCTCTGGCTCTTGCAACAGTTCACCCATGTGTCACCAACACCTGAGGGGAGGACCTGCACCAACCCACCCATTCCACAAGGCCCGGGCTCCTCACCTGGCATCTCTCTATCTGGGAGAGGGTCTCCAGCAGCCGGCTGACGTCGGAGGAGGCCCCCCACACCTCCCGGTAGAGCTCCAGGACAGCGATCAGCTCTTCTTTGGAGATTTCCTTCTCAAGGGTGATGCCACTGTCAACTGCAGGGAGGGGGTGAGGGGTGGGAAGGCGCTGGGGACTCCAGCCACCATCCTGGCTGGGCTTGATTCCCACAGTCCTTGCGACCTCCCTCTCCAAGCCAACGCTGGTCAGTGCATCGCCCTCTGCTTAGCAGTCTAGAGCCCGTTCCCTTGCCTACCCTCTGCTGTTATGTCAGGAGTGGAGGCCTGGCCAGAAGCTCACAGCGAGGGTTTTGGAGGGAGGTCCCCAGCAAAGAGAAAATGGTCAGAGCTTGACACAACAGAGATTTGGGAATGAGCAGTATAGGCGTGGGCAATTTTTTTTTAAGTTGGAATCTCACTCTGTCGCCCAAGCTGGAGTGTAGTGGCACAATCACAGCTCACTGCAGCTTCAACCTCCTGGGCTCAGGTGATCCTTCTGCCTCAACCTCTCGAGTAGCTGGCACTATAGGTGTGCCACCATGCTCAGTTAATTTTTGATATTCTGTAGAGAAAAGGTCTCACTATGTTGCCCAGGCCAGTCTCGAAATCTTGGGCTTAAACAATCCTCTTGCCTCAGCCTTCCTAAGTGCTGGGATTATAGGCAAGACACACTGCACCCAGCCTGAGCCACTACACCTGGCCAGGTGTATGCATTCTGATAGAGAGTTTGGAAAGAAGGAAGGATCAGTGTGCAGTGAGGCAATCACTAAAGCCAGCACAGTCAGGCTGCAGAGGGCTGTCTGCCTCTGCAGGAGATGACACTTCCAGCATTGAAATCCAGAACTGCAGTGTAAACCTGTGGCTGGGAAACACAGAGGTAGCTAAGAGAAGAGGCAGGCTGAGTGGGAGGCCTCTGAAAGCAAGTGGGGAGGTGGACACAGGTGGCTGGTCCACATGGAGCCTCTCTCTACTATCTGATCTTTCTTCAACTGTGACGGGCACTACTGTTTTTATCTTACAATTAGATCATGAGCGATTTTCCAACACTACATATGTGAAAGTCGATGCGAATGAGCGCTCTAGAAAGACAAGCCAGACAGATACATGGGACAGCCGGACAGCAGAACCACCAGGCCACCAGCAGGCTGGACGGCCAGCCAGACAGGCAGCCCGGTGGGCAGAGGCAGCAGATGCCCGGATGCCAGGCCCACACAGACCTTCCGAGTCCTGGTTCTTCCGGCTGTAGTTCATCCGGAAGACGAAGGCTTCGAGGATGAAGGCGACGATGATTGTCATCACCACCTAGCCAGGGACAGGGTGGGGCAGGCAGGGAGGAGGGGCGTGGGTGTGGGGCGGTGGGGTCCACACCCAGTGGAGCCCGGCTAGGTGGGAGG